CGGCGGCCCCTCCCCTCTACTCCCAGCCCACCTTCAGGCTCTCGCGCTTCCTCCGCGGACCCTCCCTCGGGGCGAGCCGCCGGACCTCTCCCTCATTGGGTCGCCGCCTGCCCGGCCTCCTGGGGCTCCGCGGCGGGACAAGCAGACATTCCCGCGGCGCAGCCTGCCTTCCCTCACTCTAATCGGGGGAGAAAGGGTCGCGCTGCAGGGGAGAGGCATCCCAGCGCCGTAGCTGCCTCGCTGCGAATGCCGCCTTCTCCTCTCCGAAGGAGAGCCGTAAACCTAGTTTTCTTCTGGCTATTCTGCTGACTGGAGTGACTCAGGGCCGGAGCAGCTGACTCCTGGACGAAAGAAAGGCATTGGGAGGGAAGCTGGAAGGCAGCTTGTGATCGCCGAAAGAGCCTTGCTCTCGTTGGCCTTGCTACTCAGGCTCTGCTAAAGGGCTGTTTCCTCCAAGGACTTTGCTGTGCCTAATAAGCTTAGTCAAATCCTTCCAGGAAACAGTCTAGGGTCTTCTTCTCCCAGAAGTAAGCTGGCTTGGCCGGGACTTTTCATGGGTCTGCCAATTAATTTACTCGCTGCAGATTTCTGATACAAAGAACCTCAGAGATCATCTGACCCAGCCTCTTGCTTCACTCTATAAAGAATTCCCGAGAGATGGCTCTACAGCCAGAATTTGGAGACCTCCAGAGAAGAGAGAGGTACCACTTCAGACGACTTATTCTGATTGTTGACAATTCTGACCATCTGGAATTCGGTCCTAGCATTTAACCTGAATCTTCCTCTCCAGGGCGAGAGGAAGGAGTGGACAGAGAACCTGTCCACCCCTTCCTCTCTCCCTTTCAATTAATTTTCAAACTTAAGAGCGTTTCGTTTTGATTAGGACTTTGCCAGCATGCAAATGTTCTAGTCTCATTACAGATCATATTGCAATATTCCACATATCCTGTGAGTTGACAGAAGGATTAACATTTATTAAACACATACAATCCTTCCAATCCTGTAGAACGATGGCTCACCATCCTGGTTTTTCCATATAGGATCTGTCGCAGATTCAGTCTGAAGAGGGAGCACGACACTGAAAAGAACCATGTTTATTGTTGGGTACCTGCTTTACAAGAAAGAGGGACCCTGAACAATGGAAAAGCAAAAGCTTCTTATAGAAGTTGAGGGCTATGAGGTGGGAAATCCTAGAGATCTGATTTGCTGACCAGTTTGGGGAAGCTAGGAAGGTCCATGCCAATGTACCTGGGAGTAGTTCTACTGCTAGGCAAAATGGGCCTTTCAGGAGGGCAGCAGAGCTGAGGACGTTCATTGGGAAGGAGGTGGAATGTTGAGGTCATCAGCTTATAGAGGATGGAACAGGTGGGGTTTCTCTAGGTTGCAATTCCCTGGGCTGGACTGTGAGATGGTGAGGAGGCTTCTATTCTTTGGTTTGACGGATTACCAAGGTCTTTATCTGGGACAGGGAGAGTCAGTTTGGTTCTGATGGAATTAGGCAAAGAGATGAACTGGGTTTGACCTCCATTTTCTTAGGAGGAAAAAGGAAAAAGGGTGCAACCTCCATTTTCGTTGTTAAGCTTGTTTTCTCCACTACAGAACTCATACCTGTCTGAGTAGAGCTACTGACTGAATTTTATATGCCAATTTAATTGATAAATTATCCAAACGTTTCCAGTGTTGGATGTTGGACAATTAAAGTTTAGCTGCTGAAAATAAAATTTTAATATGTTTCTTATTTGCCCCACATTTCCTCCTCCAAATATATGGAAGAATCCTAATTTTTGTGAACATTTAATTCTTTGTTTAGTTGTGACATTCAATTCATAAACTCCCCCTCCCAAAAAAGTCTGCTACTTTTTCATATAGCTACCAAAGGGGAAGAATGTTCCATTCTGTTTATAAACCCTCCAAAGTTTTGCTGGCTAATTACAAGATATTTGTGCAGTTCTTATGGTGCTAAATGCCAGTGCAAAATCTTCAAATACGATTCCTGCCTAGAAGCTGAAAAAAAATCCCCCAGATTCCCGCAATGTTTGCCATGTTTTATCATCCAGATATTTTCCCAGATCAATCTCCCAATTTTTTTTCAAACCTAGGGAGGGATTTTCTCTATCTGTTTCTAATAATCACATATGCATTTTACAAATCATATATTTACATTGAGAGGGGTAGTTTTGTATTAATTTATCAAAATTTATTAATGGACAATTTGTAAGCTGCTCTCTTAGTACACTGAATCCATAAGAACCTTTTTATATTGTAATTGGTGCTCTATTTCTTTTTTATTATAAGGGAAGGAATCTCTGTAAAAATTTCTTATTCTGTATATCCTTTTACACATTTTCATTTGGTCAGTTCTATATTGATCATAACACACTGGATATATCATCGGGGTGTTAAAGAGATATGTCCTATATAAATGTTGCATACCTCTTCTGTATCCGGATCAACTACATTAATTTTACTTACTTTAGATAGGTCTTTCTGGAGGAAAAAAGGCTTAAATATTTATTCAGTTCTTCTATATTTTAGTTTTCTAGCCACTGCTTTGATTGTTCATTCAAAATGAAGGGGATTCCCCTTCATTTTGAAAGTTCAGTCAAAGCAGTGAATAAAAAATGATTGGGATGGTAAGTCCTAAATGTGGAGGCTGATAATATAATTTTAGACATGAACCTCTTTCTGAGATGCATACAGAATCCTTCTACTGGTTCTTGAATACTTTTGGAATTAAAACAAAATACTTCCATTTATTTTTGCTATTTTGTGAATATTTTTTCTGAGGTCTCCTGGGGGCAGGGGTGAAATAATTAATTTCGAAAGCATATAATAATTTTAACTGCAGCATTCGGCCTGGAATCTTGGCACAGCTTTTATTCCAGTGTTTCATTACTTATTAATCTTTTCCCATGTTGGAGTATAGTATATTGCTTGCTCACTTCACAGGGAGGTGTACCCAGAACACTCAAGTCGTAGCAGGTAGGTTGGAACATAAGCTATTGTCAGATGTTTCCACCTTGGTGTTTATCTGGGGATGGGTGAAAAATTTACTAGCTTTTGGAATTTTGCTTCTTCTATTGGCGTCAAAGCTCAATCTAATAGCTTATTAAACCATTCCAGTGGAAAGAGTGCAGAGTGACTGTATTACCTCTTTTATCTTTCTGTTATCGGTTTCAAATGATATTGACTATGGATGTAATGTGGAGAGTGGGTTAGTTTGGGAGTCTCTTCTGCAGTCTACTGGCAGGGAGCTCAGTGACTCGCTGTAAGTATTTCCATTAAAGTGTACTTTGTTGTTTCTGTATCCAAATGCTTAGATTTTTCTTTTAGGCATTTTTTCTCACCACTATAGCCATTAAATGTTTTTAAGGATTTTCCTAAAATTTTAAAGGACTTGCGTATCAAAGGTATTTCTAAGATACTCTTTTTTGGGGGGAGGGGTATAGTTTTGGACAGGTATGAATGCACAGCAATTTTTTTTAAAATTAACTGTGAAACCTGATACTTTTGCAAAGTCTTGCAACTCCTTTTTATTTTAAAGAAGTGAATGTACTGCATTTGAGAGAGTTAATATATTTCCTGCAAATAAATTTAGTATATTTTTCCTTATATTTACCCATGTAACTTTACTATTGATGCATTCTGCTAACGTTTCTATAAGTAAATTAAATAGAAAAGGGGATGATGGGCGTCCTTGTTTAGTATCAATAGAGTTTAAGCTGACTCATAATTATTAATTCATATCTGTGCCCTTGTAGGTTTATAAATCTGGTCTGTCATGTCTTTTTTTTTTTTTTTGCCAAATTTAAATTTTTGTAAAGTTCTTTTCATAAACAATCCTTCTACACACAGGCTTTCTGTGTATCTAATGAACAGGCTGATAAGAGGAACAAATTGGTTTACAAAAGTGTAAAATCATATGTAATGATTTTCTAATAGGATTGCATATAATTCTCTTGGGAACAAATCCAGACTGGTCTGGATGTATAATCTTATTTATGTTTAATCTAAGATGATTAGCTAGTAATTTAGTACATTGTTAAACAGTAAAATGTCTCTATATGGAGTTACATTATTTGGTTTGAGAATAAAATACATACCAATGAACACTGATTCACAGGTGTTCTGCCTCTAAACATCTCTTAATCTGTAAATTACTCAGATTGTCCCTAGCATAGATTGTCCTGTTCTTAATCATGGCTGTGGGCAATTCACATCATAGCCCCTTAACCCTAATATCCTCTGGCATTTAGCCAAGTTAGGATGTAACCCCATCCAAAGAGATCCCAGGGTGTTCTGTGTGAACTAGACAATCTGGGATCATTTCTCATTTAGATTTGCCAGGAATCGACAGATGTCTTTGCCAGCCGAGCTACAATCTCCTTGCAGTCCTTACAATCTGTCATTTTATCATCTCACCTCTCTGCAACCGACATTGCTTTGAACGAAAAGGAATTTAATTTTGCATTGCCTCTATATTAAGTCAGGTCCCTTTAGCTTGTAGTCACCATAAAACAGTAAACTTATTTTGGACTATATGGAAACACT